AAAAAAAAAAAAAAATCCGTAACTTTGATACAATCCATTGTTGTGGCTTATGGCTTGGATACCATCAACACATTATCCGAAAATCTCAGAATAAGGTCACTGGTAGGAAAGGAGTTTAATTTCAACATTATCAAGTGTATTGAATCAAGGTTCTTTGAGAAAACAATTTTAGGACTGTTAGTAGGAATTGAAAGCATGTAACTCACATTGTGTCCTATCTTCATCACAGCTTCGCCTTGCAAATAGTTAGGAAAGCAGAAAATATTTGGTTTTAGGGTACGACTTGCCTGAAGTATTGGATGTCAAATTGCCACTTAAATTCTAATAGATCACTTTACACAGTTCCAAATGCAAAAAAAACAGCAGAACTTGATAATACGTTGTTAAATATATTAATAGTGTGGGTTTTGCCTCATTATTAAATTGCAGTTTTTAAGCTATTGCTGATTGGTACTGATTTAGGTGCTGATTTAGGCTATTGCTGATTGATGTTGGATAGTAAACAAAACCTTTTCCAGTAAAAAAATGAAAGAAATTCATTCTTGCATCATATTAATGAAAAGTGTGATTTGATTACTGTGGTGAGAGTAGATTAGTAGAGCTGCTGTGATGGAATTTTGTTAAGATGTGAATGGATATTAAGCTTGATAAGATAAAGTCCTCTAAATTTTCTGATATTTGCATAATAATACATTAATTTAAAACTCTCTTTATTAAAACTGACCTGTAAATGTCTTTTATGGTTGATTTTTAGCCACCAGCTGAACAGGCCAAAGCCAGACTACAGCTGGTTCTTGAAGCTGCTGGTAAGTGCATAATTTATTTAAATGAAAAAGTACTAAATAAATCTTAACATGCTTACAGGTGGGTCAAAGAAAAAAAAACACCTATTTTCATATAGCTTCACAAATTTATGAAATTTAGGTTATATGTATGGCCATATTTTATAGGAAATATTTATTGCTACAGTATAATGCTAAAAAGTCATTCTTTACCTTTTTATTTATAAAATTGGCTTCAATTTTAGTTTCAGTTTTGATAAAGTCCAATTTACTGACTTTGCTTTTGGTGGTATATTTAAGAATTCTTTACCTAACCTCACATCACATCATAAAAATCTCCTCCTATATTTTCTTCTAAAAGTTTTATACTTTTGCATTTAAGACCATATATGATCTATTTTGACTTAACTTTTGTATAAAGTGTGAGTTTAAATCACGTTTTCATTGTTCTAAAGGAAACAAGGTAAATGTAAAATAGTAATTTCTCCAATTGCATTGGACTAACTCATTGGACTGTTCTGGGTACCATCTAACCTTAAAATACCATATGTTTTGTTTTTCAATGATACAGTAATGCAGTGACTTTGATTTTACATATAATGCCCAGATTTATGTAGACATTAAATATTTTACCTTTTCAAAAAACATGAAAGATCAATGTTATCTTTTCTAAGTACTGATATTTTACTTTGAATCTTAATGTGCTCTTCAAAATGTATGTAACTTATTTAAATAAGTTGTTAAGGTTAAGCATGAGGGAGGGTTAGAATAATAATGCCAAAGTAGTACATATTTCTTAAAATTATTTACTTTTTAAAGATCTGTAAAGAGTCCATAATTTCCAATTGGAAAGTGAGAATTCTATTTCAACATCAAAAGTAATTTCGGACTACCAGATGATAGTAGTTGTATTTTTAGTTTCATTGATTGGGAAAATACATATGTGCATATTGATTCAAGGATTTCTTGGATTAACTCCTACCAAGAGTGTCCACGGTTTAAAGATTGGGAGCACCAGTGTAAATGATACACTAGCTTCATAAACACTAACAGAAAATAAAGGGATAAAAATTGATAAATATTTTGACTGTGAGTCTCTATACCACTCCATATTTCTTTAAAAGTCATTATATTTTATGTATTACTATTACTCATTTTATCTTTAATTATATAGAAATTACAATTTCTACATAGTATTACAGTTTTGCTTGCTATCAGGTTTTTCATATTTTGACTCAAATATACCGTAAGATAAACTAGTTAATATGATTCTCTATCATTTACATAAAGTACATGGATTCTTTAGTAGCATTTTGCTTTGAAAAATTATTTCCAGTTCATAATTTGAGTATGGACAAACTCTTAAAGAAAATTTTTATGGTGCTTAGTTCGGAAAATATTTGTTTCCATTATTATAACTATAAAGAATTTCATTTCATAGTTTTATACAGTTATCTTTATCTTTTAATATGATTTTGAAGCATATTATAAAACAGATCTGACACTCCAAACCTCATAGTATATAACTTGCTTATATTGGTCCCAGCTGTCACCCCTCATATTTTAATTTAACTTTCTAAATTCTGTTATGGATAAAGAGCTAGGTTCTGTGAATTTGAGATGCATTCAAATTATTATGACAATTTTACAAATTAGAAAACTTACATTAGCTGGATAAGCAAAGGACAGACCTTAGCTACATGTAGCATTATTTACTTAATAATTTTCTTCTTTATTTAACGTGTTGTCCCCAGCATTTCCCTCTTATGAGTTACACTGTGATATATCTCCTGTTACAAATTATGTTTTTTATATTTTACATTATTTTCTTGGAATTGATTACTATAGAAATGAATTTATGAGGTTAGAGGGTATTAACATTTAGAGTGACTTTTTATGCATTTTTGCTAAATTGTTTCGCAAAAGGACTGCGCTACTTTACATTTCCACTGATTAAACATTTTTACCAAGACTTCACTTTTGATGCCAATTCCATGAATATATTGCTTTATAATATGGCATAACATATTACACCCCTTTGGAAAACATCCAGTACTGCTTTTAATGAGAACGTGTGGATCACTTCTCGGCTTTTTGGCTAAGATCAAGTGTAATGAGAACGTGTGGACTTGGAGAGAAATAGGTGGATGGATAGGGGAGTAGGATATAAGCAAATACAGAACTTATTCTCAAAGTTCTAGATCTCTTTCAGTGAAGAATACAAGGTGTTCATGGTATTATTAAAAACAAATAAAGGAAGGGGGAATAAGACGAACTTGAGCTTAGTCTGGAAGTCTTGCTATTAAAGTCTAGCCTACTCCTATGATTGAGGTACCTGTATAGGAAGGTCTGGTAGCACCCATTTTGTCACATTGGAGGAAGTTTACTTGGGTTCTCAGGGAAAACATCCTTGACTTTGGGGCCTTAAAATTGAGTACAAGGGAAGACTTAAGGCTGTATGTTAAGATTCTTGAGACAGGATTTATTTCAGCTTTATAGTTACTATAATCTGGTAGATAGGGTTTCTATATAAAGAAATCCTGAAGCTACTTAGTCCTTTATTCTAACCTCAGGTCCCAGAAGAAAGTTTTATATGTAACCATTGCATTGTTATTGATTTATGAGTGAATGTTAATGATGTTATTGGTTTGGAATTAAAATATATTTAGAACATTTGGCAACAATTATTAGTGGTATGATTTTGAAAGACGTGTATGAGTGAAATAACATTAAGCAAAATGTAAGGTATCATGCATATTATACCAAACATGAATTTGAAGTCATAGATTTTATTGTATTTGTTATGATCATATTTTTTATACATTAAATTTACATATTTATACTTTGTTATGCTAAATCTTCAGATTTAGATAGAATCTTTTTTCATGTTCATTACTAAATTACAATTGAAACCAAAATTCATGTCTCTTGTTTAACTTTTAATTCAAAGGTGATGTGAAGTTAAGGTTATATCTAAGATTGCTTTTCTGTTGTTTTCAAATGGCAACAGGACACAGAAGGTTACAGAACTGTATAAATTTGTAAGACAGAATCTTTAAATTGTAACCTCAGCTAATGGCTTACCCTATGATATTGAGTAAATCCTATTAACCCTTTGTGCCATGCTTTCTTTTCCTTTCTGTCTTAAAAATGCTTTTACCATTCTCCCATTTGTTAAGATGCAAAACTTAGAAATTTTTATCTTTGACTTCTTAAGAGGCAATGATTCACCTAGAATAAATGATCTTATTTTGAAGTGTTTTTTATATTTAACCCTTTATTATCTTTCCCACTGCCATCTCCTTAGTCTAGATGCCAAACATTTCACCCAAAGGTTAATCTGTGACTTCCTAATTGGTCTCTTGCTTCAGTTCTCTTCTCTGGAGATGGTAGTGAAAAGTGGATGGGTTCTAAGTCTACTTACACTACTTACTCTTTGTGACCTTGATGTTTATTGGTTAGCCAAAACAGAGGTATTTTAAAAAAAATGGAACATGACAAATGTATATATTTTCTAGTTTACTATAGTTCTCTGTTTTTTAAAAAGTAATTTGTTGAGGTGAAATTCACATAATATAAAATCAGTCGTAATTGTTTAAAGTGAACAAACCAGTGGCATTAAGTACATTCACAGTGCTGTATAACTATCACCTCTCTCTAGTTCCAAAACATTTCCATCACTCCAAAGTAAAACCTCTTACCTATGAAGCAGTTTATCTTCACTCCCTGGACCCCCTGCAACCACCAATCTGCCCTCTGTTTATGTGGATTTATCTATTCTGGATATATATAATGGAATCATACAATGTGTGACCTTGTGTGTCTGGCTTCTGTACTTAGCATAATGTTTTGGAGGTACAGCCACATTGCAGCATGTATAAGTATTTTATTTCTTTTTATGGCTGAATAATATCCCATTGTCTGTACACCATTTATCCATTCATATATTGATGGAAATTTGGGTTACTTCCACCTTCTGACTGTTGTGAGTAAGTGTTGCTATCAACATGCATATACATGTACTTGTTTGGGTACCTGTTTTGTAATTTTGGGTGGTATATACCTAGAAGTGTAATTGTGGGGTCATTTGGTAATTCACCAAACTTTTCCAGTGTCTGAGCGATATTACATTTTCATCAGCAATGTAGGAGGATAGTCCCCTACTATTCCAGCTAAACCATGTCACACATTTAAATTACCTATTTGAAAGTATTTAGCTTTGGGAACTTCTCTGTACCATAATTTACTCATTTGAAAAGGGGCAAGATTATAACTACTTTATAGGATTTTTGTGAAGATAAGTATAATATGTGAAATGTCTAGCCCAGAGCCTGGTGAATGGTAGACTCCAGAAAATGTTTATTTCCATATTGCTTTTTGTGATTACCACTGCTGGATGGTTCTTTTTCAGCCACCATTTGGTCATGCTACTACTTTGGCTCAAAATTAGTCACTGGCCCTCAGTTTCTTACAAAATTAATTTTGCACTTCTATGCTTAAGGTTCCAATGTTCGGTATGGTGGATCCACAGATTTTTCTATATTTATTAGAATTCATTTCTGAACTTCTCATTATTCTTTGAGTTACTCATTCTTCTGCATTTATTAGAATTCATTTCTGAGCTTCTCATTATTCTTTGAGTTACTTGTTCTTTTCTACCTATGGATCTTTGCTCATGATTTTCTCTCTTCTAGAAATGACTTTTTCCTTCCTCTTCCCACCTCTAAACACTTCAAAACAAATCTCAAATTATATTTCCACATGACTTTCATGACCATTCCAGCACATAATCTTTTCTCTTCTTTTTTGAATTCTTTCTGTCCTTGTCTGCACATACCATTTATGCTGATATTTACTCACATATAGCTGATACTAATATTTAATTATTTCATGAGTGTTGAACTTATTTTCCCGATGAAATAATAAACATGATGGCCAGGAACCAGAGCTAAAACTTCTAAGTCTTTCCCAGGAGTTTTAACAGTATCTGTAGAGAGTGGTACTATGCCAAATAAGAATCCAGG